AGACAGCAGCCTGGGAGGTAGACTTTGGGAAATGGATTCCCATTTATTAAGATGATTTTCTATCTTAAGCAAAGGAGAATATTGAGATCATATTGTACCGAGAAAAATAAATTGTTGAATCATTTTGTTAAATTACGTGACATTGTTAGATGCTCAATACAAAAAGTAATGTATGCCATTCTTTGGTATATGGTATAAAGGATGAAGAGTCAGCATCACCCCTTCTTAGGGAGCTGCCAACGCAAGTAAGAAGGGAGGCAGGATGTGATAAGTGCTCAGACACATACAAAGTGCTGGAAGGGGCTCACAGGAAGCAATCAGGATGCCCAAATGGTGCTAGAACTCGTGCTTTGAGGATTTTTTCCTTTTCCTAACTTCCTGGAGATTAAGAGGTGGAAAGAATGCTCCAGATAGGGAGGTGAAGCTAATTTGCTTATTTTATAATCCTACTTAGCTACTCTAATATAAAGAAATATTTACATAGAGAAAAGAAATGGTGGAAAATCAAAGTTCTTTGATCTTTTAAAAATGAAGCAAATATATATATTTATATATTTTATAAAAATATATTTATATGAATATATAAATACTATTATGAATATATAAATACTATTTGTTTCTCATAGACATGGTGTAGACAAATGTTCTACAGATTGGACATAAAGTTCATGTGCAATTTAAAGCAGTTTAACATAGTAAATTGCACACAAACTTTATGCCCACCCTTATAAATCCTCAGTCGAGGTAGGGGAAAGCCAAGCTCATAGTCAGGATTTACTGTGAACAAAATGAATGGGAATGTTCAAGACATGGCAATAAATTTTAAATGGTGAAATCACAGGTAGAAATCATAGCAAAGAAAGTAAAGAAATAAAGGCCAATGTCTAAGCCTGGACTTTTAGACCTTCTGCTGTAGGGAATTCGTGTAACTTTCGAGGCCTGGATGCTATGCCTCCTCAACTTCTCCAATTCATCTGGCCCACAGCTTCTGTTCCCTGATCCCATCTGTAGTATCACAGCCTGTTTCTTTTGGCTCATCTAGGAGCCTTTATTGTATTGGGGGGACGGGCGCATTTCACGTACCAAGAAACATCCCAAAACTTTGAAGATTAAAAAAAGTAGGAAATATCTAGGTTCATATACTGACTTAATTCCTCCTAGTGTGTCTTCAAAAATCAAATATCCTTGCAAAATTAGTTTCTTCATTTGTAAAATGGAAACAATAACATCAACCTTACTGAGTTGTACAGAATAAACTGAAGTGAGCTGATAAGTAGTGGAACATTTAACACCCAGCCGAGCAATTAATAGACCACATGTTTATTAGATACATTCTGTACTTATTTCCATTTTCTCTTTCCTCTCCCACTCTTTAACTTCTCACACTAGTTTAGAAGCTATGAGGGAAGACTTTCCTCTTGCTAGAATTTTTCTCCATCTCTGCCACTCTGCCTTGTCACTTCCTGACTATTCCAGGTACTTTCCATTCCCACGTACTTTCTGCTCACGCACGGCCATCAGCTACTCTAACATGGCTCCCCCAACAAGCTCCCTCACTGGCTTTCTCCTTACCCCTGCCATCCCAGACCATTCTGAATTCAAGCATTAATAAGGTGTTTTTAGAAACTCATGCAGAAAAACCATCACTGTTCAACTCATAGAATCTCGGTCCATGCTCCCTAGAACCTCTTTCTGGGATCCCTTTTAGCTTCTGATTTGTTGTTGGGAAGAAATTAGGGAACTTGGCAAATGCCCTGAAAAAGGCACTTACTTCCTCCATTGTGGTCATTGTAGCAATGATTCCCATTCTAACAACACTTTTGGCAAGGTAAGAATTTTAAGGTCCCATTAGATTAATATAAAATAGCGCCCTACCACACTGTGTAAGACACAAGAAGTTATACCATTTTTAGGAGCATCGGATACCTCTGCCCCATGGCAATACCACCATATTGTAGACTATATTATTTACCTATACCTTCAGTAGTTCTTATCTTTTCTTTTGTGTAAATCTCTTTGATAAAAATGATGAATCTTTACTCTCTTCCAAGAGACAAAAATCACGAAACAAATTTATGGATGTTCGCTTGTTTTGCCTGTAGCTAGACTTTTGGGAAAATTCAAACAAATTTTTTATTTGCCATTTAAACTTGAACTAAGCAAAAATATGACCTTTCTTTCTTGTCTATTCTTCTAACATAGTGGTTCTCTACCTTCCTAATGTAGCAACCCTTTAATACAGTTAAGTTGCTAAGTAGCAACTGTAACTGCTAATACAGTTTTGTTGCTAAGTAGCAAGGAAAGTAATTTTATGGTTGCAGGTCACCACAACATGAGGAACTGTATTAAAGCGTTGCAGCATTAGGAGCGTTGAGAACCACTGTTCTAAGAATACTTTCATGCGAGTCTTTTGACATCTGTAGCATTTAGAAATTCTGATTTTACACTCTTCTCCAAGATAAAAGTTTTCTATTTTAATGGAGTTTCTCCAGTAGACCTATATTTTATAAAAAGGAAAAAGAGGGGGGGAAAGATGCAGAAGGAAATTGGAGAACTCAGAGGGAAGGCAAAGAATTTTATCTAGAATAAAGAAAATTCTTAATCACCTGAAGTAAAAATCTAACCTTTGAGAGTGCTCCTAAATGCTTCGTGCCCATTTCTCAGTGGTTAGGCCAGTGGTGATATATAGAGGGGCTAGTGGGTTCGAGCCTGCTAAACAGCAATGACAATAACAACAACAAAAATAGCTGGGCATTGTGGCTGGCAGCTATAGTCCCAGCTACTTGGGAGGCTGAGGCAAGAGAATCGCTTAAGCCCAAGAGTTTGAGGTTGCTGTGAACTGTGACACCATGGCACTCTACCAAGTGTGAATAGTAACACTGTGTCTCAAAAAAAAAAAAAAAAAGAAAAGAAAAGAAAAGAAAAGAAAAGTGGCCCTAAGGAGTATATTGTGGAAGGAAAACGAGACCCAAGAAACACTTTAGACAGGGTTCCCAAATGCAAATGTACTCTTACCTTATTTTGATTAATCTACTCTTAGGTGTTTGATTTAGAACCACAATGTCATTAAGATGGAAACATGAGCAGGTTTATGCTTTATTCTGAACTGCACACTAGCAGTTCGGTGACCACATAACATTTAAGTATACACTTAGCAAGCATTGACTTGCCTTTGTTCTGTTGGGATGGAAACTTTTTATTAAAATCTGACATAAGGAGTAGGAAAAGAAACCTGGAGAATAAAAGAGGCAAAATATAGGGAATTATATTTAAAAAAGAAAAGACCATGTTAGTGGATTAGGCTTCAATAAAAATGATAGAAGAAATAATTAAAACAGGCCAGGTTTTAGTGATTAAAAAATAAAAATAACTATAGAAAGTAATCTTGAAGAGAGGGGATCTACAAAGAAAAAAAATTGAAAACAGAGAGACCACTTACATTAAAGAAGAAACCTGAACAGTAGGATTCCAAGTAACAGAAATAGCAGCACAGAGCACAGACCCAATTTCTTTTCCTAACTCCACTGTTGAGAGTGTGTGTGTTACAGGGGAGGAAAGAGAGAGAAGGCGTCAGTCAGTCAACAGTTCAGTGAGCGCACTGTGATGGACACTACAGAGGGGAGTATGCCCTGTGAGGGTGTTGTGACTGCAAGGAGGTCACAACCTCCTCAGATAACAACATTGTTATCTGAGAACCCTGTGTGCATACCAATAAAATCATCTGAGGCAATCTCTGAAAGAGCCTTCAGGAGATTCTTTGGGAGGCCAAGAGAAGAGAGTCATTTCTACCTAGAGTCATCAGAAAGATTCAAGGAGAAGTAGAAATCTGAGCTGGATCCCGAAGAAGGTTAGAAAGGGGAGGTAGCTTGGGTTGGGGTGGGTCTATAGTGAGAAGAGAGATGAGATTGAGGAGGTGCTCACTCCGTCAGTCTGGCTGGATAGAGTCCTCTGGAAGCCAGTGGAAGGATGAAGAGTCCTCCTAGATACGTTGTAATTGGGACATGACATGTGCACACAGCCTGTAAAGAGATGAAGTTCCCCTGCCTGGCCAGACATGTCCAGATCAGCTCTCATGTTTGACATCTCCATTCTTTTGCTCACAAGCATTTTCCTCTTGCTTCTTACATCTGTCTGCTTGGAGAAAGGAGCCTTTTATATCTACAGTGGCCAAATCTTAGAAAATGTAATTTAGGGTTTCGCACAAATGTAATTTAACTCCGAAGCTTAACTATGGTACAAATGTCATATAGATTTAAAACACTAAATAAACTTGTCTTCATGAGAGCAGATTAAGCCTTCTCCTTCATACTGTTCCATTTCAGGTTGGTAAATTGATCAAGGAAGCTGCTGGGAAAAGCAATCTGAAGAGGGTGACCCTGGAGCTTGGGGGCAAGAGCCCGTGCATTGTGTTTGCTGATGCCGACCGTGAGTCTGAGCCACTTGGACTCCTCCTTCCATCCTTTTTGGTGTCTCATAATGCCACGCAGTGAAGTTACCATTGTATAAGAAGGTTTTCTTCCCATACCAAAGTGCGAGGAATTAATCAGAGTCCAGAATTACTCTTGAAAATATGTTAAATCATCATAAACTTGTAACACATTGGTCCCAGACACAATTTCTTCCTGGTTCAGAATAGATTGCTAAATACTCAAACTCAAGATAACATAAACATTTGCATTTAGGAGCCATGATATATTTTTCAAATTCCATACCTTTAATTATTAGTGTCATATTAAGTGTAATGAGATAACCCAGGGATGTGCTGGACTGAGACCAAATGGGAACATAGCAATTTCACACTGGCCGTCTCCCTTCGCACTGGGTCATATGCTAATTAAATAAAACAACCAGAAGAGAATCATGCCTTCTATTTAAATAATGTCTCTTTTTTAATCCCTTAGCAAATATGGTTGAGTTTATGTGTATTTAATCTACAATTAGGATGAGACTCCACTACATAATATTCTGGGTTCATTCTGATTATATTACCAAGTAGAATCCCAAAATTATTTGCTAAATAGATGTTAATTAGCAGAAATAGTCAAATATTCCTGTAACAGACTTACTTTCACAGCTACATTATTTATTTGTGGCTGTAAACACCGATGCTTTATGAATCTGGCCTATGTTTTTAGGATGGTCTTAATTAAACATTTTTAGAATATACTATATTATTAAACATTCTATAAACATGAAAAGAATCCTAATTTTTCTAAGCTTTTCTGCAAACTGCTCTTACTAAAACTTAAGGTGTTATTAGTTTACAAATAAATAAAAACAACACCCAGTTGCTAAAATGTTGAGTTGAATCTTCAGAGTGTTGAAAGTTAAAATGGAAAAGAAAACTTTATTTTTGTTTAGGATCAACTAATAAAGCAACCTATTTCTGCCTTTTAAAGTACATTCAACTACCTAAAATAAATGGATAAGAAGAATTTAAAAGCATATATGAAACAATATACCTTCGATAGATTTTGAAAATGTCTTTGCTAGAATAAAGTCATAAGGGGGATGGGTGACTCTGAGTATTAGATTTCCTATGCCTCTTTTTTAGTTGTTTTATTTTGTTTTATCCCACAGATGTTCCCTTAAGAAACTTTGAGATTATTTAATACAATAGACATTTCAGATTTTCTTTGTTATCTAGTTAAAACACGAGGCCTGAAAAAAATAGTCACAGTCACCCAACTGATAATAAATGGAGATATTTATAAAAATCATTTGTAATGAGCTTTAATTTTCTGATTGGATCCACTTTTTCAATAATGTTTATATTGTTATAATAATAACCACTATTTTTTCAGATTCTGCTATTCATTGCTATTATTTCCATGGTAAATAAAGGATCAGAAAGACTAATTTTTGACTTGACTATTAAGAAGTTGAATGTATTGTGCTCATATCTGACAGTACAACTCATGCCCCTGTCTGACAATACCACTCATAACTTTTCTTTATCACTATATTGCCTCTAAGAAAGAAAGTAGAACCTCTGTAAGTTGACCACCACTCAGCCTATGTACCTTTGGTGCATTCTGGTCTATGAAAATTAGGTCAACCTAAGGAGGTGGTGTGTTGACCTAATTTTCATAATGTGAGCATGCAGCACATGTACTCAATGGAGATCCTTATGTTGACCACCTCCATGGGTTGACCAATTTGTTACAGACCCTTGTGTGGCCAGCTTACAGCAGTTCTTCTGTATATAAAAACATGTAATCTTTAGAAAGTATCTCTTTTTTAATGTGAATGTCTTCCTTGCTGTGAATATCTTTCTTGCAGTGGACAATGCCCTTGAATTTGCACACAGGGGAGTGTTCTTCCACCAGGGCCAATGCTGTGTCGCTGCATCCAGGTTGTTTGTGGAAGAATCAATTTATGATGAGTTTGTGAAAAGGAGTGTGGAGCTGGCAAAGAAGTACGTTCTTGGAAATCCTCTGACTCCAGGAGTGAGTCAAGGCCCTCAGGTGAGTACACAGTAGTAGAAGAAATAGCATTTCAGGGGACAAGAATAAAGTCTCCTCTTTAGGCCTAGATTTTATTGAGTGAGGTTATTTCCCATCCACGTGTCTTCCTAGGTAATGATACTGTGCCAGTTTGGTGATTAAAAAAAAAAAATCAATTTCCAATGATAAAGAAATCATTCTGTTTTTTTTTTCTGATTTTTCATGCCTAGAAACAAGTAGGAATCATACTGAAAATTAAAGACACCGGGGAAATTAACAAATGCTATAAAGTTCTTGCTTTTTTTAGTTTTGAAATACTTGTCATACTTGTATTTAGATGTGGCCCATTTAATGAAACAGGACGGTGACAATTAGGAAAGGCCAGAAATTGGAATTTCAAACAAAAAGACCTCAAGTGGGAGGATGTGCAAACCACAGTCAGAATGTAACATCTAAGAGCATAGAGCAGACCAGAGGGGATGGTTCAACAACAGGGGATCTAGACACAGGCACAGGAGTCTTCTAAGAGAAATCTAAGCATCTGCTCTCCTACTGCCCTGTTCAATTAACCCTGGTACCAAAATTCTCTTTTTTTCTGTATTCACTCCCTTTATTTCAATTAGCACTACAATTTCTAGGTTAATGTGTTAGATTATTTATAGACATTTCTTCCAGAGTGAAGAAATGGCAAATGTATAAAGGTTTGCAGTACTGACATGCTTCTCTTCCATAACTATAATACAAATGTCTATCTTCAGGGGTTCTTCCCTGAAAAGTCATGAGAATAAAATTCAGCTAAGGAATGAATCAGAGCCTCTGTTAGCTGTTTTGATTCAATGTTTGATTCAATGGCCATATCTTAGCATTTTGAAACCTCGTTAACAGGCCCACCAGTATGTTATCTTTATAAACCTGTAACTTTTTTTTCCATGTGATATTTTTCAACTAGATTGACAAGGAACAATATGATAAAATTCTTGATCTCATTGAGAGTGGGAAGAAAGAAGGGGCCAAACTGGAATGTGGCGGAGGCCCCTGGGGGAATAAAGGCTACTTTATCCAGCCCACGGTCTTCTCTAATGTTACAGATGAGATGCGCATCGCCAAAGAGGAGGTAAAGGGTTTCGTTCTGTTCCTGATGTTGTCATGCCTTGTCTGAACGTGTGCATACAAAGTGTCCCTTTAAAATTCTCAGCTCTTTCTCAATAAATACTACTCTTTCTGTTACTAATGAAGGCTTATTTGTAAGACTAACAATAGTAAAAATTCCTTTAGGCCAGCTGAAAGTTTTAGCCAAACATAGACCGGAAAGCTTAACAATTTTTAGATACTTCTTTCATGGCTTCAAAGTGATTTAAAAAAAAAATTCTGTTATCCACATCAATGAGGATGAAGCTAGAAGACACTGTGACAGGTGATGCCTGCCAAACTCCGAAAGACAAATGTGATCTCACTTATATGTAGAATCTAAAAAAGTGAAATTTGGAGAAGTAGAGAGTGGAATGATGGTCATCAGGTCGGGGCATGGGATTTGAGGTTTCAGGAGATGTTGGTCAAGGATAGAAAATGTCAGTAGGTAGAAGGAAGAATGTCAAGAGATCTATTATAATCATGGCAAAAAAAATTAATAAAAACATATTAATTCATAGTAGAATAGTTAGCTTAGCTTAAACTTCAAGCTAAACTTAGTATGAAAAACATTAATTCATAGTAGAATAGTTAGCTTAAACTTAGTATGAAAAAACATATTCACAGTAAAATAGTTAGCTTATACATTAAGCTTGGAGCCATATGCTATGTTCAATTAAAATTATGTCAAATATGAATACACTTACTGCAGCAGCTGCTCTATGTCTGTTTCCCTGAGTTACAACCTCATGATTACATTTACAACCTTAGAATTTTTACTCAGCCTCTATTTGCTTAGCAGGTCCTATTTCCCTTACACTTACCACAGGGGTGAACACCAGGAAACTGCTTGTCATTTCTGATTTTTGCCTCTGTGTATTCTTGTTTCCCAGAAAATTTAGATAACACTCAGAAGAACCCTCTCTTTTAATTTAATTTTAGTAAATATCTTACTGCAATATAATTTAGGGGCTTAATTTCTAAAAGATAATCCAGTTGTCTTTCTCCTCCCTGGTGCTGAAATACAGAATGACTTGGGCTTAGGCTATGTTAAGTAGAGTGTTTAGCAAGGGTGAGAATGGTGTAGGCTGGAAAAATGTGATTTTTGGTTTTTGTTCTGAAACCATAGCCATTCCCAATGAACTTATGCCCTGACTAGGACAGGACAGCTCACGGTTTAAGCTCTAGCAATAACAAACCATTCTTTATTAACATATGTAAGTTGTATAAGATTTGGCTATAAAGTAGAATCTAAACAAAAATTCATGTTTTACATACCCTGACTAATTATTAAAATATTAAATGTAATAAAATGGCTAATATTTCAACCAATGGTATCCTGATATTTAAAAGAAATTTACTATAATTAATCATTTCCTAGTCATTTATCCAAAAGGATAGCATTGCTTTCTGGAACTTATTGTTATATGTAGTAAGTTGGAAGATGAGAAAAACTAGGGAGAGAATTTTAAATGCCCTAAAAATGAAAATGAAATTATGAGGTTAATGATTTGATACACAATTACAAGTTCATGGAAGCTTAATTTTAACATCTAAAAAGTGAATATTGCTTAATTATTTGTAACCTATCTTGTTCCAAAAATAACTGAACACCTGATCATTATCTATTCTCACCTACATTGCAGAAGCTACTTAACTGGATTTTTACACATAGGTTTGATGTTAGAGCAGAGTCTTAATCAATGTAGGATAATTCATTTTTCTAAAAAATTGCAATATCTTTTGAAACATCTAGTTCTAACCTATCATTTTGATTTTCTTAATCCATTTCTTGTGGTATAGATATTTGGACCAGTGCAGCAAATCATGAAGTTTAAATCTTTAGATGATGTGATCAAGAGAGCAAACAATACTCACTACGGGCTCGCAGCAGGAGTCTTTACCAAAGACCTTGATAAAGCCATAACAGTCTCCTCTGCTCTGCAGGCAGGGGCAGTGTGGTAAGTCCAACCTAAATGATGCAGCCTTTTCTCTGTTAACCACAGTAACAGGTTACCTTAACTTTAACCTTTTTAGTCTTGGATTTTTCATTTGGATATGCATACCTGCTAGAGAAGCATTCGCTGCCTTTAAGAACAAAAACAGAAAACCGTGCTACAGTGGAAGAACTCACATGGAAAGGTGTTTTCTTTAATTCTATCCAGCCTCCTACAGTTGCTTACCTGAAATATTTTACTGATATTTGATTAACACATGGGTGGGAAACTTTTTCATGTTGGAAAGGCACATGAATTCAGCTGTAATCAAAGTTGTATTTAAGGATTTTCAATTAAATATACTTCAGAATGTAGATTATTTTTGTAGAAATCTAACTACTATGTCCTTAATGATTTCAAAAAATGAAAATTATTTGTAAATTTTAAAGTTAATTAAACTTTTAATGACTTTGTGTCTGCTTCTTGTTGGAAAGCATTTCATATTGGATGGTGGCAGGGAAGTCTGCATCTTCTAAATGGACATCAGTCATTTAGGGGATCCTTTTTTAAATTTCTGACACAGTCTCACTCTGTCACCCTGGGTACAGTGGTATGGCATCGTAGCTCAAAGCAACTTTAAACACTGGGGCTCAAGTAATACTCTTACCTCAGCTTCCCTAGTAGCTAGGAGTATAAGTGCCTGTCACAATACCCAGCTAGTTTTTCTAATGTTTTTGAAGTGATGGAGTCTCGCTCTTGCCCAGGCTGTTCTTGAACTCCACAGCTCAAATCAATTCACCCAATTCAGCCCCCCAGAGTGCTATGATTATTGGTGTTAGCCACCAGTCCTGGTTATTTATGCTATCTTGATTTGGGTTAGGAGAATCTATATTCATAGCAATAAGTGGTTGAAAAGCAAGAAAACATTTTGGGGCATATTGTTGAAGGTATGGGTATTCCACTACATTTCCCCATTTCAGTTGGCTCTTTCTTAGCAACGGTGACTTTAACAATCATCTACTGAGGGGTCAATCAATTCTATCTATAGTTCTTCAGGTATCTTAGTGATATCAACGAGGTGAGGCTGAAATGCTATTTTCAGTGTGATGTCGTGATTCTCAAAGTCAGTGAACTTTTCACTGAATCCTCAAATAGGTCTGTTAACAGCTGTGTAGTCTTCAAATGATTCATATATATTCATCCTGCTCATTAATGATCTTTCCCCTAATGAACAGGGGGAAATGTTCATCTGAAATATCCTTTTGAAGAAGTATTTTGAAGAAAGACAGCTTTCTTTGAAATTCTTGGATTGTTTGCCATATGTTACATATAGACTTCATTTTACCTTCCACAGAAATATTTAAGTCATTGTGATTTGACATGATTGCACACAGAAATGCTTAATTCCCATAGAAATCTTCTTTTAACAATTTACATTGCTGATACTGTTTGTTTGTTTGCAGTTTTTGGCCGGGGCTGGGTTTGAACCTGCCACTTCCAGCATATGGGGCCAGCGCCTTACTCCTTTGAGCCACAGGCACCACCCTGATACAGTTTTTCATAAGATTTAACTTACGAAATAAAATTTTGGATAATACCTGTCCTTGCCAACATACTTTAGAATGACACGGTGAATCCTCACTGAATAATACCTCATCCTTCACCTTTGGCATGTTACAAAACCGGCAATGCTGTGTTGCATTTGCAGGAATATGACTAACAATACTTACAACTTGTCACAAAGTATCATTTACTGTAGTAGCTTTAGCACAGATTTTGTTGTTACAAGAGACAATGCAAAGAAATGAGAGCATCTGGATCTGTTAAAACTTTAAAAATCTATTTAATAAACCCTTCATGTTTTCCTGTCATGGAAGGTGGACCATCTATAGATACACATTCATTAAATTTACTGAATTCAGTCCAACTTCACATCGTTTATCTTGAAAGTTATTGAAGATATCTATTGTCTATGTTCTGTTAACAAGAGTGCCCAAAGTGAACAATTCTTCATAGCAAAGAAAATCTTCTGTTATGACCATTCAGTTGTACCATTGCATCATCAGAGGTGATTAAATATTAGATATTTTCCTCTTTAAATGGTGCATGAAATTGTTCTGTTAAGTTAAAGACTAATTCATATTGCTAAGATATTGTTCTCTTTGAAAGAAGCAGATGTTTGTACCTTGAAATGTTATCAGGATCTAAGCATCCTACAACTTCAATAATGCATTCCTTCACAATTTTTGCATCATGGAATGGCTTCCCTTTTTTCCTCAGTACATAAGCTACTTGTCAGTTGCTTCAGTGGCATTATTTCCAGATCTTATTGCAGCTTGAAAGAATTGTCTTTGCTTTTGATTTTCATTTTTTAATTTCTGCAATATAACCTTTCACACCGCTCCCTCTAATTCAAATTATTTGTGGTCTTTATGAATGTCGTAGTGTTGATGTGCACTGGATTCCTTTCATGCTGGCTGATACTGCAGTATCACAAAGCAAATCATCTCATCTTTAGCAGAAACAAGATAATATGGCAATTCCCAATCCTCATTAAAAATGTTTTTTCTTCCTTCAGCATTCTCTTGGTCTTGAACATGACAGGCTGTTAAGCAGACAGAATTAAAAAATACTATCAACTGTATAACTATTCACAAATTCTACTTCAAACAGATATACAGTACACCATTATCAAAAGCTGATAACAGACTGGCATATTCTACCCCATACATAAGCCCTTGCCTACCAGTCTCATGCAGTAATGGCATCAGCCAGACCGGGGGAAGTTAGAATTACATCTTGAGTGTAGCAGCCCTTAATTTAGCCCTTTATGGCTTACTAATTATTCTAATTGTGCTGGTCAATCTGAAAGGGTTATTTCATTGAAATTTATTTTATTCTTTGGTATTTTACTTATATTCATTGTGAAAGTAAAATAAAATTATAAAAAACAAAAATAAAAGGATTTATTCTGTGAAAATTAGATTCAGTCAAAAGGATCTACAAAGCCACATGTGGCCATTAGGCTGCAGTTTCCGGACCCCTGTTCCATGGCACATTAGCTATTCAAGCTTTTATAATTCTAACTATAGCTTCTCAGGAACATGATAGACTACAAAAATGGATGTCCACCTATACATCCTTAGATGTACCATTTTCTTTGTTTCCAGGTGGTATGTATCCATATACTTCTGCATTCTAACTTATGCTGCTTTTTTGTCACGATAAGTATGTTATGTTGAAAGCAAGGGAGTTCTTAAGGAGCTTTTTAAATTTGTAAAATTGCCAAATTAGAGTTATCTCATAGGTTAAGCATTGCCTATGATGTACTTTTCTTTCTTTTCAGGGTGAATTGCTATATGATGATATCTTCCCAGTGCCCCTTCGGTGGATACAAGATGTCTGGAAATGGACGAGAAATGTAAGAATAATTTTCTATGAATATACTTAACCTTCATGAAAATAGTTTTTACTCCTAGAGATTTAACTTACAGTTGCCTCCTTAGACAAAACCCTTTTCTGTGGTTTCCTGGAGAATTTATACCTCCAAATGGCTTATTAGAGGTTGGCTATTCCCCATACATGCATAAAGGTGATGGCAGAAGGGAAAAATAATTTATTAAGATCTTACTATTTATAAGGGTCCATATTAAGCACTTTCCATTGGTGATTGAAATGTTGCTGCTCGTAGAGTTATATGCCATGCATAGGAATGTAATCTATGCAAGAAACATTTCCAGAAAGAATATGAAAAGCATAAATTGACAATTGTAGGAAGTATGCACATATAAGAAGACTCCAGTTATTTTAATATATCTCCCATATAAATATGAGATCATTAAGTCTGAAAAGTCCAATTAAGAATCACAAGTTTAGTTTACTATATCCCAAATAAAAAGCAGTACAATTAATCAAAGTATGCATTTAAATTATCAATATAGTTTTGCCACATTAACAGTAGCTTCTGTATGTTACCAGCGAAGAAGCCAAGAAATTGCCAGAGGCGTCTTGCACAGCTTGTTGAGAATTAAATATTTTTCCATGCAAGTGGCCCAAAGCCTAGACAAAGTGGTAGTCAGTTGGGTGCAAGGTCTCGTGAATAGGTGGATGACAGAGAATTTCAATCCAGCTTCTGTACTTTGAGCAGCATGGTTTGCGACAGTCTTGTCTTGTAAGAGGATTACCCTGCCTGGATTGACTGATCTCAGCTGCTTAATCTCAAGTATCCTCATCATATCATCCACTGTCATCCGTTGACCAGGTTTCATGAAGCTGTAGTAGATAATACCAGTGCTGGACTAATAAACAGATACCATTAGCTTTTTTTTTTTTTTGAGGAGTATTTGACATGAGGCTATGTTTCGGCACTTCATCTTTATCCAGGCATTGTGCCAAATATTTGCAGTTATCAATAAGAATCCATTTTCATCACATGTAACAATACAGTGTAGAAATGTTTCATCATTATATTGTGACAGCAAAGAAAGGCAAGCTTTGAGACAATTTCCCTTCTGAGTGTCAAAGTAAGATGTCGGATCAACCATCAAGCTTGCAGGGAATCAGACATTTCATACTTAGAAACAAAATACAGTAGGTGCCTTATCTCAGAAACCATCAGTATAAGAGGAATGATTCTCATTTGTTGAAATATTATTGATATAAACTCCAAAATTTTTAATTACCTGAATAAGTTGTTTTTGGAAGTGAAACATAAATCTGAAGGGAAATTTGACCAAGGAAAACATGTTTTATAGTAGTGAATAGATTGAGAAAATTTATGGATAAAAGGACTTATGAGCGTTTGGTTGCTTTTAAGACTAGGATATATAGACGTTTTGTAAAAATATTCACATACACATGTAAACACAAAGTGCTGGCAAGATTTTTGGTTGAGTTCATTCAAGCAATTTTACCTATTTTATTTTTTAAAAATGTTTTACATTTACCAATAAATTTAAAAATTCACAAAGAGAAAAGATAAATCATATGCGAATCTATGAAATCAAATATAGTATTGCTGTCCATTTTGTAAACAGCAAGTAAAAATAAGTTTTTCTCAGTTTCTAAGGGTCACATAGGCAGGAAATAGCCACATACTTTGTCATTTATCTCTTAATGAATGAGCTAAATTACAAGGAAACATTTCTGGGAAGTCATAAAAATGGAGGAGTGATAGAATGACGCATCAACTTTCTCCACATGCATTCGTTAGTAGGTATACTTTCTATGTATAAGGTCCTAGGCACATGACACTGTGTTCCATGCCCTACATAACTGTGGTGGCAGGAGGAATATGTGAAATGATATGCGAGACAACCCATACACACTAGAGGGAGACTCAGACTTCACGGAAGCAATACAGCACTTGAAGTGCAGAGAAAAGTATTGAAGGACAGAACATCTAGAAACGATGAGAACGTAGCATTTAGGACAGCATCTCATTAACTGTCACTATTTTCATCTGTCACACAAGATCAAGAATAGCGGGTGAGGACAGGAGTGGGTAGAGGAAGTAGAAGGTCTTTTAAGCTCCTTTCCATGTTTAAGAGTCTATGGTTATAATTTCAGTGGAACTTCAGTAGATAGAAACTTAAATGGCAGTTAAGAAAGTAAGAAAAGACCTCACAGAAGAGACGGAACTTATCTAGGGCAGGGGGAGGGCGTTCTTGAATACAACATTGCATGTGGCATGGTGAAGGGCTAGTGAATTGGATTGGTTGCTGTGGAATCATAGGGTGAGAACTGTGATTTCAGAGTTAAATATGATACAGACTAAGAAGTCCTAAAGTCAATTGGACTTAGATCTTACTTGTAGAACAGTGAAGGGCCGTGCATATGTCTAAAATGTTTTGAAAATGACAAAGACCAACCCATAGAAAATGCAAGGCTTATCTGAGAAGACATCATTAGAGTCTGACCAGCCGGCACTTATGTCCTTATACTCCCCACTCCCTAGCCATCCTGCCTGATTCAAGTTTCCCATCTGCTGAGCCTCTGCTCCTCATATTTCAAACGTAGATATCAACTTTCCTCTTTATATGGTTATGACATAATGAACGTCCAATCCCCAGCCTTATAACTGTCACAAAGCGGAAACTCAGTAAGTGGTTTCTTCCTTCCCTGTTTCTTCTCTTTATAATATCTGTTACTGGAGGATCCCTTGGCAGAACTAATTACTTTCTACAAAATGCTGGGAAAAAAGGTTAGATTACTCTGAAAGTGGGTTAGTTCATTGCTAGCCCAACTATCTAACACATTTTCCTGGGAATCATGAAGATAAAATAATCAAAATGGATGATCAAATGATAAAATAATCGAAAAGGATGATCAAAAGGGACCAAACATCAGTTTTGTTGAATACAACATTAAGGTTGAGACACAAGGACATCAAATAAGAGGACTGAAAACAGAAATCAACCATCAATAACTTCCTAAACCTGATATAGGTATATAGAATTTTCTTCTTTAAAATATAAGGGAAAAAGTTAATGTTGTATTTTTTTACTTCAAAAATTCTAGCTGAGGGTGCTGCTATTCAAGTCCAAATTTAATGAACTTAGTAAATGAGTCATTCACTGCAAGGTGCTTCAAAAGCATTACTCCAGTGATCACCAAGAGTTAAGTTACAATTTGTGCTCCAAAGTAGAAAGAATTGATCAATGGGGAAGTAGAGTCCTCAAAGATCCAAAATTGGTGGTCGGCAGACCCCTACATTTTTGGTGGTGATACGGAATATGCAAACCTTGATTTTGCATCTCTGATCATGGGTTGGCACTGGAATGGGTTAAATGGCAGAATTTCTCCCTTTGTGTAATTGATCTCATTTTCATTTAAGTTAACATAGGTCCCTGCAGACATTGCTGGCATGCCTGTTTAAACTTAACTGGCTCTCAGCACCTCACGAGATATTTCTTTCCTCCCATCCCAGAGAAAATGAACAAGGAAGTGTTGCAAACTACTGAGCTTACAGCAAGAACTCAAATGAATATATATATTTTTTTGCTTGATAATATTTGCCAAGTCAGTTCAGCAAATATTTCCTCTGTGCCTGCTTAATTAGTGCCAGTCTCAGTCCTGGGGACAGAGGAAAAAACAGACATAACTTGTTAGTGGTACTGTTTTTCTCACAGTGTGGACCCTGGATGAGAAATGTGGTTATCACTGAAAATTTACTAGAAAGGTAGTGTTAGGCCTTACCCCAAATCTACTGAATCAGAATCAGGCTTTGATAAGGTCCCAGGTGATTTGTACAGTGATGATTTTCGAAACCCAGGACTAGTAGCTTACAGAATTATTAAGATAAAAAGAAATGTGGACAAATCTTTCCATGTTATATCATACATACAGTAGACATGTAAGAGTCCTAAACGGCGGGGCCTGTTCAGCCAGAGTAGGACAAAAGTCACAGTTATTACTCTCTTAAGAGTTTCAAGTGCCCATGTGACCAAAAATACAATGGAAAGCCTATAGGTTAAAATCACGGGTTGATTTATCTAACTCTGTGAGATAAAAACTTATTAAAACACTGTCTTATAATGGGTTTCAGATAACTGAGGCTAAACCCTTTAATTACTTTGAAGAACATGCTCACTGAAGCTTTTAAAAGGGTATTTTCAGAAGCTTAACTGCCCAAGAAAATAATCAGTACAAGACTATTAGGTAACCTAGGAGAAAATGATGTCTTCTGTATACCTTTTTATATCATAAGAAAAAAGGGATAGAAAAGGATCATATTTTATTCTTCTGTAAACCTACATGTGCATGAGTATTGAGATTTTGAGAACATTCTTTTATACATGTAATGTAATCCTCTTTCAAAACAACACAGAGTATAACTGAGCCAAATCTTTTTAGTTATCCCTTCAATAAAGAGAATGCCAGTCAGTTTTTAGGAGGTCCCTGTAAATTTGAAAACAAGATAGTAGACTTGAATTAAATCCTGATCACTTGGGTTAGACTTAAGAGTTATATAAGCAATGAGTATGGGATTGAGGAGGTTATATAAAGGGAGAAAACCAACAACTGTGAAAACCCCAGGACCCTGAATTTAAGTTAATCTCCCCTTTTGCACCTCCTAAAAAGAAAACAATAATAATAAAAAACAAACAAACAACAACAACAAAAACAAAACAGAAAACTTGAACAATATAGATCAAGTTTTTGTTTTGTCAAGAATCAGAAGACATTGCTAAAACTACAGCTATAAGATGTTTTGTTTCAAGCCATATTAGGGCTACTTAAGATGAAAATCTCAGCCCTTCATCACTTCTGTGCCAGTTCTGTGCAGTCGGTCAATGCAGCTCTGCTCTAGTTTACAGTTTCACTGTGCTACTTCTCAGTGGTTATATATTACTACCTGTCCTGTCTTACTGTATTCTGTGAATCTCAACTAGAAATGCCAAAATTATTGTTGGGTTGAATTACCTTTAGAGTAGTTAGAGCTTTTAAAATCATGTAGGCTAATGAAAAAATGGACAATTTCTGTGAAAATCAATAAGAATACATAATTATTCAAATTTTAAAAAATTTTTAAAAAGTTTTTTTCCACAGGAGATTTATGTAAAACCAGATAGTTTGTGGTTGGCTAGCTACTACACAAAATAGTCTGTACACAGAAAATACTTTCCATTTTGTTAGCCAGATAAGCAAGAACAAATGTGTATCCATCATGCACTTCAGAACATTTGTACTACTGGGCTAAATGATGTTTGTGGGTATTTTTTTTTCTCTTTCTCCAGGGGAGAATATGGTCTCTATGAATATACAGAGGTCAAGACAGTTACAATGAAAATCTCTCAGAAGAACTCATAAGGAAGCTACAAGACTAGAGAGAAATTCTTCAAAAGTATCTCTTATAGTCCCTCAATTCAATACAAGTATTCTTTTCTTAATTTCTTTAAAAGCAAGCTAATCATATTAGTGTTAATCCTATCCACAGAGAACATGACATGAAGCTTATTCTGAATCTTTTGCTTTCTGATATGAACCCCACCCAAGTTCTATCCTAAATAAAAAAGAGAAATTGAGATACAAGATCTCAAGCTGTGCAACAGTCATGCGCTTTTCTTTGTAGCTATTTATCCAGGTTAACCACTTCACAGAAGTGACCAGTTATCATTTAGCTTCTTTCCCTTAATGACTACTTGAAGTCCTTCATATACATGTTAACTGCAGAATAAGCTGCTCTGTTCCCAGTAGTTAGGAAGTCCCTGCAGTGTCGTGAAATGTTTCCTAGAATACCCTGTCTGCTTGTCACATGAAGTAATGCCTGAAATACTTAGCTATAAGCTGAATATGAAGCTTAATAAAAACAACCATGTATGCTGCTTGTCATATTTGAAGTATCTTAGTACAAATTTTGGTTATGATGATTTCTTCTCCTTGCCACTCAAAATAGGTATTAAATTGAGCACAAAGATATATTTAAAAATAAAAGTCTCATCTACTCATTGTCCAATGGGTAATGAAACATTTTACTTTTCAGAGGAATTCTTGAAATCACGGGCACAGATTTGAGATAGATGGCATTAGTCCTTCCGGAATCATTTACTGAGTCCCTTCAAAGTTCTGGGCTGGGCACTCGGTTAGGTATTGTGCATCGGGCTCATCATGAATGGTCCCTCATCCCATGATGCTGTAATTTAATGGAGACAAAGGTAATCTCTACTCTGGAATAAAGAAGGATGCCCAAAAAAACACAAGGGAGGATTCTCAAAACCACGATGAAAGCACAGCAATGTGCCAAGTAGGGTGTGATGAAGTCTGAGACGTAGGGATGGCCTCAGGAGGAATATTTGGATGTGAACCACAATGATGAGCAGATCTGCAGTGAATAAAAGGGAAAGCAGGTCTATGTCATCTCAGGGCATGTTCCATTGAAAAGCAAGTTGAAGAAATTCTATAGAATATGTTCTTCTCTCGTGAAGTTTTAAATTACACATTGCCTACATATTACATATTCTAGGTTCTGAGAAGTCCTGCAACCCATGTATTTTTAATACATTTTTTTCCTGAATATCTTTTAGCAGAGATTTTGCCTACCCCCTATCGTCATTTAATATAGATTAGCATTAAGTGATCCATGTTGGGAGAAGCCATCCTGTGCAATGAGGGAGCATTTAGTCTTCTAAGAAGAGACCTGAGATCAAAAGAGCTGCTAGCAAAATGCCTCTGTGCAAAACTGACCACACAACGCTTACTCACTGCTGCTCTTAGAACAGAGTGGCTGTGTTCTTTCTTCTGCTGTGCTCCCATGGGTAACTGCCCTAGGCCCAAGTAAAATCAAGAGAATATTTGCATATGACTGTACATAGTCTAAAGTGTTCTTAGTTCACCAACTTAGGAAAAGAATTTTTTTGCAGGTTCAGATTTCATCTAAATATTTGTTTAGCATTTCACATTTACAGACACCTCAGTGACACTTGTTTGGACACATTACTAGCTGCTATGATCAAGTTTAACAGTATAAGAATAAGTGAAATTCATTAGATTCTTAGACTTGTCATAATTTCAACTCAAGTCTCAAAAATTTTTCTAATCTGTGTGAAAATGTAACTTTTTCAATTTGAGCTCTTTTATACATTTTGGGCATAATTACCATTTGAAAACTGGGGAAACAGATATCTTGGGGAGAACTGAAAAGTTTTGGGACATTGAAATGGGAACATATCCAAATACAGAGGAGAGTTGTGTTTTCCTAAAGATGGTGTCTACATTTTTAAAAGATGTGTTTAAAACCATGTGCAAATAAATTAGTAGGTAGACAAGTTAATATTGTAACAGCATCCCACCAGAATATTTTATAAATGTATAGCAATGAGGGCTGAACACAAACAAGACAAAGACCAGAAGCAAGTTTAAATAATTGAAAATTAAATCTTCATTGTATAAATAAGACATTACATAAGGATTATGTAATGACATTACATAAGGATTAAACAAAAATGATATGTTTTATATTGGCTCATCCTGAGCCTCTAGAAGACATTATTTGTATTCCATTCTTCGTATTAAGGTCATGCTAGAAATAATTCTTAAAACCTTGAGAAGTTAAAGGATATCTTATAATTTAGTTCATATGCTGCAGGAGATACAGTTCAAGAATTTTATCATGAAGAATTCAATTTTGCAGTTATAAATATCTTACTATCCCCATGTCAACAGAAGTATTTTAGCTACAGGAAAATCAAACTATGTGATAGAAGTTGAAATTCACTGTTTAAGCACAGATAATGTCTGTCACATTTTTAGATATGCATTTTCTAAATGTCTACTAGGGTTTTTCTTCTATTCCTCTTTTTCCTTTTTTTTTTTTTTTTGTTGTTGTTATTTTCTTTTTTAGTTCTATTATTAGGATGCATACTTCTGGTTTTATTTTGAAGCAGCCAGAGGAAATGGTGGGAGAGAAGAGTGTTTTTCTTAAATTCTTGTAACCAGCTCAAAATGGAGCCAGCTTAGGTGGCTCCTGTGGCTCAAGAAGTAGGGTGCCAGCCCCATATACTGGAGGTGGCAGGTTCAAACCGGCCCTGGCCAAAAACCACAATTAAGGAAAAAAAAAAAAA